TACTAGAGAAAGCCAAGTAAATAGTCTAGTCAATTTTGGTGTATAAAAAATCATAATAATATATAGAAATTCATGTCTGAGGTTTGAAAATAAAGCTTGTATTCTTTAGTTTAAATCAATAATGACCTTTTTTCACTAAGTTTAGATTTAACTCTTGTTTTCTGCTGACAGAAAATTTAAAAAATTAGAAACAACAAAAATGTAAAATTATTCTATTTACCATTAAGGCGTTAAACAGATGTCTGGCCCTAATTGTCACTAATGATGTTTAGTCAAAGATCAAAGAGAAAACTCGAACTATTTTATGTAAATTAATTACTGCTTGTGCCAAGAATAATTCCCATAAAAAGGGGAGGGGGGAGCGGGGCGGAATTTTGTGACACTCCTCATAATAAGCCTCAATTTACAAACAGATAAACATACAAACAAACAGACAATGATTCATTAAAATTAACTTCGGTAAGAGAAGAATGGTTGCAATAGATCTAAAAATACTACTTGATCTCAATTTACCGGAAAGTAAAAAACGCCAAAGTTTCTCATAATAAAGATTTAGATTTGAGCACGATTACAAAGCACCCTTTATATTCCGCATATAATGAAGTAGTGAGGTGTATAACTGTCAAAATATCTATTAATCATTCAACAAGATTACAATATTTCAGGTACTCACTGTATTCGAGGAAATATAAATTAGGCAAAACAAAAAAATAGTCTATTCATGCATTTGTCAAATAAACGTAATGTGATGGATTGATGTTTTTATTATAACACACTGGACGATAGAGCCATGTTGATTGTATATCTAGATATTATTATTCAGCTACCATGACGGAACAGGAAGTCACATGACATATATATATATATATATACAAGGGACATCACCCAAAACAACATTATAAATATAAGACTAATACAAGAAGAGTGAGTTCCCTTGACTTCACAATTCTCAATATATTACATCCCTTTACCCTTAGTAAACAACAACACAGCTCTCAATAGAACAAATGATAGTATCCTAAAATCACCAAATATATTGCAACATGAACATTATATGATTTGAATCATTTGGTAGATTACATCCTTACAAACAATTGCAAAATATGCCACAACATAATTAAAATACAAAACAATGATGTCAAAGTCCTCTTGACCTTTAAAATCATAGGTCTAACTTATCTGGGACTTTGATTGTCCTGTTTGACCTTCTCAGTGGCTTTTGATTTGGTGACTCAAGATTCTGACCATCTGGACTCTCTAGCTCAGGAAGTCCAGGATCTAAATAATTAATTCCAGAATTTACATTTTCTGACTCTAGACTACTTGGTTCACTCATATCAGCAGAACTTAGTTGTGGAACAAACTGAGTTGGTGTGAACTGTTCAGATTTGGTGGGATTGATAGATTCACACTTATTATCTGCACAAGTTATTTTTAACTGATCTGCATGTCTACGGACAATAAGTCCATCATTTGCTTTTACTTTATAAGACACAGGTCCTGTACATTGAACAATTTGACCTGGCATCCATTTTTCCCCTCTCCCATAATTTCTCAGACACACATTATCATTAACTCCAAATTCTCTCTCCATGGATGTTTTGTCATGATTTAATTATTGTGTATGTTGATGTTGGGAAACAGACCTTTGAACAGTTGGATGCAGTAGGTCAAGGTGAGTTTTAATTTTCCTACCACATAGCAATTCGCATGGTGCAACACCTGTTGTTATATGAGGAGTTGTGCGGTATTTGGCTAAGAACCTGTTTACTCTTTCCCTGAGAGAAAATTTGTTACCGGTACTCATTTTTACCAGAGCGGTTTTGAATATGCCTACCGCTCTTTCAGCCAAACCATTCCCAGCAGGATGATAGGGTGATGTGGTTATATGCTCAATACCATTTGCTACACAAAACAGTTTAAACTCATGAGCAGTGAAACTAGGTCCATTATCTGAAACAATTTGATCTGGTAATCCATGAGTTGAAAATATTTCCTTAAGTTCTATAATGGTATCATTTGCAGTGATTGTGTTCATGATTTTAACTTCTAACCACTTAGAATGTGAATCAATAACAATTAAGAACATTTTGTTCATGAAGGGTCCTGCGAAGTCTATATGTATACGTTTCCATGGTTCGATTGGCCAGTCCCAGTTTTGCAAAGGTGCTGTAGCTGGTTGATTTGAATGTTGTGCACAGCTTGAACAAAGCTTTACATATTTGTCAATATCAGCATCCATATGTGGCCACCAGAACCACGACCGCGCAAGGCTCTTCATTTTGGAATAACCAAGATGAGTATCATGTAAAGTTCTTAAAACTTCTTTTTGTAACATTTTAGGGATAATAACCCTTGACCCCCATAGTACACATCCATCTTCTAGACTTGACTCTATTTTTCTTATTTTATATGGCCTTAAATCATCATTCACTGACTCTTCAGGCCAACCATTCTTACAGTACTCATATACTTTTATTAAGCACTCATTTTTTTGTGTTTCTCTTTTAACATCATTAACATTTATATTGGAGTTATCCATGATAGTGAAAAGAACATATACATCTTCTGGTACATAACTAAGGCTTTGGTTTTTTAAAGGTAAACGACTAAGACTATCTGCACTATTCTCAGATCCAGGTTTGTATTTCAATTCATAATTGTATGCGGCTAGTGTGATAGCCCATCTTTGAATCCTTGGTGATGCATGCTCAGGCAGGGGTTTGTTTTCCCCAAATAAACCCAGCAATGGCTTATGATCTGTAAAGATGGTGAACTCTCTACCAAACAGAAACTTGTGAAATTTCTTAATACCAAAATGATGCCTAAGCCTTCCCTATCTAGCTGAGAATAATTTTTCTCAGCCTGGTTCAAAGATCTACTGGCAAAAGCAATGGGTCTGTCACCCTTTTCATCTATGTGGGAAAAGACTGCTCCTACACCATCTGGTGAAGCATCACATGTTAAGATACATCTTTTCTTTGGGTCATAGTGAGTTAGTAAGGTGTCAGAAGACAAAGCTTCTTTTGCTGCATTAAATGCAGCATCTTGTTGTTTACCCCTGTACCAAGTTGCATTTTTTCCGCAGCAGCTTGTACAGTGGTGATAGTTTAACTGACAGATTCCCTATGAACTTCGCATAGTAATTTATCAAGCCCAAAAAAAGCTCTTAGCTGTTGGGTATTTTCAGGTTTGGGTGCTTCTTTAATGGCTTTTGTTTTCTCAGGTTGAGGTCTGAGACCCTGTCTGCTCAAAATATAACCAAGAAAACTAATATCTGTCAGCATGAATTGACATTTATCTTTGTTTATTTTTAAACCTTTTTCACCAACTATTTTCAAGACTTTACCTAGTAATGGTGGTCCATTTCCTTCAACCACAAGAAGAGGAAGTTTAACACTTTGACCATTATAGCTTACATGAACCATACACTCTCCTATCACCGGAACATTGTCACCTGTGTATGTTGTTAGGCACTTGTGACATGGTTGTAGAGGCACTGACCCTCCTTTGACAGCGTCAAAGTCCTTCTTTGTGATGACGGATAGAAATGCTTAAGTGTCAAGTTGGAAGATGATGCTCTTACCGTTGATACCAACTGGTACATTGATGGGAGCATGACTTGTTGATTTCACAGAGAACAGATTGAACTCCGGCTGCGAATCAGTTTGAGCATTTTCACTGGTAGAGTGGTTCATTGGTTGGGTTAGGTTGTCTTGGTGACAGTTAACATAGTGCTGCCTTTGGTTGCGGTACTGTCTTGACTGGCTAGATCTAGCAACAGACGAAGACTTTGCAAAGCAGGCCTTGGCAATGTGACCTTGCTTACTGCACTTATAGCAAGTTGCTGACTTGAACTTGCATCGATGAGATGCATGGGGACCGTTGCATCGATGACATTTTTGATAATTATTACTAGATTTAGATCTAGGATTTGAACGTGCAGGCTGTTTAGCATAAGTTGAAATGCTCTGATGGGGTTGGTGTTTGTTGACTAACCTACTGTTTACTGCATGGATCTCTGAAGGTGCTAGAGATCTCGCCGCATCGGATGACTGCTGAAATGAAGTTGCAAGTTGTATTGCTTTTTCCAATGTGAGATCTGACTCGAGAAGCAACTTCCTTTGAACATCAGGGCTGTTTACACCTGTCACAAACTTTTCACATAGTCTGTCGGACAGCGTGTCCCCGAATTCACAAAATTCACTTAGATGACGTAAAGCAGCAACATATTCTGATATTGATTCGTTTGGTTGACGAGTCCTACCGTCAAATCTGGCTCTACACAGGAACTTTTATAGGGCAGGCGCATGGTGGTCTGTTAGCAGTTTGCTCAGCTCGTTAAAGCTCTTGGTAGCTGGACTAGCTGGTGCGCATAAGTCCTTTAATAGCCTAAATTGTTGAGGCCCTATGACTGTTAACAAAACAGCTCTCTTTTTGGCTTCTATCGTCACGTCGTTAGCTTCAAGGTAAAAGCTTAACCTATCTAGATAATCATGAATGGTTTCATCATTCGAATTAAATTCTTTTATCTGGCCATACAGCGCCATTATCCTAGAAATACTTAGCCAATATGCTCTAGCAAGCTCCTTTTTAAGTAAGCATGTGCTCTTTTTCTGTGGATGATCCCATCCTCGTCGCCAAATGTGATGGATTGATGTTTTTATTATAACACACTGGACGATAGAGCCATGTTGATTGTATATCTAGACTTTATTATTCAGCTACCATGACGGAACAGGAAGTCACATGACATATATATATATACAAGCGACATCACTCAAAACAACATTATAAATATAAGACTAATACAAGAAGAGTGAGTTCCCTTGACTTCACAATTATCAATATATTACACGTAACCTTAGGATCGAAAGGCCAAATGACTTGACCACGGCATATGAAGTGATAGTGTGGTCAGCACTATGTCCAGCGGTCTTTAATACGCGAGTGAGGTTCCTTTCAGTGCTGGGCGGACTCGTGGACGTCCGAAAGACACTATGTTTGCGATCCGAGACTTCAGGGTTAGTTGTCGAGAGTACTACCACTGCACCACTCCACTACCCGTCCATTCAAATACTTTGGACGTCGATGTTAGATTTCCGAAACAATTCGGTACTGAGCTAGTTTCTCCAACTATCAAAGCGGTAAACTACCTACATGGTCCTAATTACTTTCACTGTCCCCAGGGGTAACCCATCTTTTTGTGCTAGTTGGACTAATTTATTATCTATATTTTAAAAGGCTGGTTTTAAGTTAAATATAGTTGGTGCTAGATTTTATTACTTATTTTAGGTATATAGAAAGGCAAAAAAAATATAACAGTTAAAACAACAAAGTGCTTGTTTCACCTTTGACCCTAATGAGATGAACAGCTGTGTTGTCCTAATGATCACTAACGGTGTTTGTTCAAATATCTAACACAAATTGGCTCTCATATGTAAATTAATTACCATGATCTCTATAAAAGGCAAAGGACAGAACTCCAAATATTGTTACCTACAAGTCTGACAACAAGGATAAGACTATAACCACAAGACTACAAAAGACGCTCGCCATGAAGTTGTTGACGTTTCTAGCCGTGGTAGTCACGGACATTCTTCTCTGTCAAGGTAAACACAAACACATCTGTAGTCTCTTGAGTTGATTGTTGATGTTTTTTTTATCTAATAAAAGCGCATCTCTAATATCTTGAGCTGATTTTGATGTTTTTTTTATCTAATAAAAGCGCATCTCTAATATCTTGAGCTGATTTTGATGTTTTGTATTTTAGATAATCCCGTGCTGTCGTTTTGACATTTTTGAGTGCAATTTCGTGTTTTTGTGTATCAAATAGACATCAACAAGATGACAAAAATCCTTCCAACATTATTACTGAAACCATTATGATTGACATGGAAAAAAAATTCTTTCTTGTCAATTTTGACTTTATAGCAGAAATAGTATATTTTAAGATTCAATTGCTGACAACGTGAAATTAATGTTTCCTTTTAAGGCTTAAATTATAACCCGCTGTTTTACTTTCGTAAAATAAGCTTTGATTAGCTGTACAAAAACACAGTGATCCACCTTTTGTAAACAAGCTTATTATTTAGTTCACAATGTCTGTGAGTTTATTGCAAATATTTTGAAAGCACTGAAAATAAAAGCTTTAGTCGCTAAAATATGTAAAAGATCTCATGTGCGACCAAAGGTTTTATTGAAGAAAGCTAATTTTTGTGTTCTTTTAAAAGCTTGTTAATATAAAGGTTATTATACTTTTGTTATTAGTAATTGTTACTCAAAAGTTTGCCGATAAAGTTTGTTAATAAAGATAATACTTTTTAAACCCAGGCCCAGTTAGGTCATGTTTATTTACATTTACGTTTGGCTTTTTATTTTAAAATTTCATTTAGTTACACAAAATATCAAATAGACCTACATGATTTTAAAATATTCATTGGGCCTTTTGAAAACTTGCGAGACTATTCTCATTGGTGTACTTATTTATAGCGTTAGATAAACAATTTTACCCTCCATCTGTGTGTCTTTTACCAGGGGCAGGCGAGGACTACGAGGAGACAGCATGTCTGGACTGTCAACAGTTGCTGCTAAAACAAAATAAAATCATTAACCAGCTGTCTGTTAAGATTCAGCGTTTAGAGGTACATTTAAAATTTTTTTTATAAAATTGTTTCGGTTTTTGTTACATTATGTGTTGTCTACCACTCAGAATAATCAACAGCCTCTTCACATTGACTTCAGCACTTTATTTATCCACATACATCACAGCCAAGATTACACGTACTGGCTAGGGCTTTCATCTTAGATAACTCACTCGTAACACAATACACACTAACACGGTAAACAGAGACTGATGAATCAAGAGACATAACTATGATTCGCATAATACAAGGGACGTAACAATAGCTAACAAAACATAACGTAACTGTTTTGGAAAAACACTATTTTTAGCGCAATTTCCATTCTGGAGAATTGCGTTTATTAACTCGTCATTTCTGGGAATGGATGGATGGATGAATGAATGAATGAATGAATGTATGGATGAATGTGTGTCCGGGCTTTAAGTCGTATCTCCTCCTCAACGAAGTAATATCGATGACTAGTTCCAAAAGCAATTATGTTAAGCAAGTTACGAAAATAAACATAGGCCATAAAAATTCCGGGTTTCTTTCATGGATTTCGCGGAAAAGCCAAAAAACCTCGGGAAAAAAGCAGTTTTTGGCCCATTTCTCGGCAACCAGACCACTTAGCGACTTGAAACATGTACCAATCGATTCCTGCCATAATTTAGAACAATATTGCCGAAGAAAGTTTTCAAAAATATCCTTTCGTTCGGTCACAAAAATTTTTTTTAAATAATTAAAATTTGGACCGAATTAGTAGGCTCATTTTCCAACCACGCCACACGCGTCATCACGTTCAATAGCTGCGCCATCACGTTCAATGGCTGCGTCATCACGTTCAGTAGCTAGGCGCGCAATGGTTTTTAGTCATGTAAGTCTATTGTAAATAAAACATGTATTTTAACCAATGGTTTTACTAACCCTGCTCTTGATTTACGCTACGACAGAGCTATTTTTAGATAACATAAGGAAATTGCGCTAAAATTGTCACTAGACTTTTTAATTACCTTGTTTACCATTTGCTGCTAATTGTTAGAACTTAACCGTTTGTCTTATTAGAATTTAAACGGGAATATATGACTTAAACCAAACACAATTAGCTTTCCATTACCATATAAGGAAAAAGAATGTGACCAATAGAGCGTCGATCATTATAGTAAAATCCAGCGTTTTGCTTTCAGGCAAGTCCGGTTACGGGAGAGGAATGGACACTGGCGTTTCGTGGCACAGCTTATATAGGCAAATCTGTTTATGCCGCCTATAAGGACGGTACCGGGATCCCCAGTGAGGTGGAACCCGGATGTAAACAGGTGAGATTACAAGATATTTCTCGCAAACATTAAAAAATAATTGCATTAAATAATTACACCATCGCCAAAAAAAAAACTACATTAAAAACATTTCTTAATAATGCAAAAGTCACTTTTATATTTAATGAATATTCTAAATTTAACCTTATAATTTGGACTTTAATGTGAAGCAAGTACAAAAGCTAAATTGATGTTTTTGTTTTTGTATCAAATTTTACACAGCACTTCGCTATTAACTAGCGAGGCATATTTCCAAACATTTTATAAAGCAAAAAAAAAAAAAAAACCTCTGTGACCGATACAAAATATACATGTTCGTTGTGCAATTGTTCGTGTGCAGGTCACCAAACCACTGCCCTGCAACAACCACTATAGAAACCTGAACGTTTTCGACAACTGGGATAAAGTAAAGGAAGTAGCCTTCGTCGTGTACTCCAACTACCAGAAGGTCAAGGAGATTTTGTTTGACGGCACAAGTACAACCTACATGACCTGGTTCGACAAGTCTAGAGTCAAGTTCTCTACATGGAAGCAAATCAAGACGGAAACCACAAACGTTTTTTCTATTGCAGGTGACATCAATCCTGTCCTCATGAGGACGTTCTTCGTCAACAACTTCTATGGCGGATGTCCAGCCGACAAGGGCTGGTTCGTGGCTGTGGACAGGGCAGACGGCGCATGCGCCTGGGAGAAGGCGAGCAGGTTCCCAGTCTTCAAGTACTCACGACAGAGTAGCCCTGAGAACTGGAACACTGGTGACGTGGCCAATGCCGACATGTTCGCCATCTTTGTTAAATTCTACGACACACCTTGAAGTGGTTGATTTAACGATCCAGATGTGGTCAAATTAATTAATGCTGGATAAAAAAAATCTTTTAATTATCGAATATTTGTTGTATGCTCTTTTTTTGTTGCTGTTAAACTATGTGTATTTTTGTAAGTTAATAACTACTAGATGAATATACCTAGTGCTGCCCGGGAACTTGTTAAAACGTATCATCTTCACTCAAGTGTTTATTTGTGAATAGCCTGTGGTAGTTTCACAACGAACTACACAGTAGCATTGTCGATATTAGGTAATATAACAAGCATATCAAATTTGCAAATCAAACCCAATCACGCTTAATTAACAATTTAACTAAAACATTATCTGCCTTTACGTTTACATTTGGCTAAATACACACGCGTACAAGTAACCAGAAACTATCACGAGCCCTTATAACCACCATTTATTACAACCCTACAGCTGGACAACAAAAAAAAAGTTCATTCACTGTTTTTTTTTAAACATTGAACCTCAAAGTAACATCGCTGAGCGACCGACTCGGGTCATATGAAAACTTGATTAATACAAGTGCTTCGCTGCAGTGTAAACATTTGAAAAGTGAATACCATCGGCCTAGAAAGTCTGTTCTTTAGATTTGTCAATGGTTACTGCGTGGCAGAATCTGACAGAAAACTGTAGGAGGAAGCAGGGTTGAGAGAGCGCTCCTGTTTAAAGACACGTGAGGTAGAAGGTCCAATCCTGTCCAGAGACAAAGGTGAGAGAGGGTCCACCCCTGTCCAAGTACATGTGAATGTCCACCCATGCGTGTCACCTGTGACAGTCTTCTTCTTCTTCTTCGTTCTTAATTATTAGTGTTGAAGGGGATCGAGATTTATCTGCCAGTGGGTTTGAACTCGAAACTTTGTTCGAATTTATCAACCATGAACTTTTTGCCGACTCGACCTCGCTTTCAACACAATTAAGTGTTACGTGTCAACCGGTTATGCGCCATTGAGGTCATTGACTCCGATTTCAGCCTGCTTTTCTTTTTGGATTTGCTTCCATAGCCTTTGTCCAACTAAGAACAAACTACAAGGCAGCAGTTGTTTGATTTTGGAGTTGTCTCTCCTAGAAGAGTGGCTGTCCCCAGCTAACGAGCCTCATCTGCCCGAGGGTACGAACTCGAGACTTTTCGGTTTGGCAACCATGAGCTTAACCGACTCGACCACGCCGAACCCTACCTGTGACAGTAAGTTGTGAATGTTGGTGAGAGGGTCGGCGGCTCCAGATGGATCCACCCCGTGTATTGGGATGTGTAGAAAATGGCTGGGGGTGGGGGGCAGTAAGCGGAAGCCATTCTGTGAAGGATGCTTTCAGATGAACATTCTTATGTAAGAACGCAAAAACCATTAGCATTTACTTGTTTCAAGGCAATGAAAATAGTGATGTCGCGCAAATAAAACGATTTTGACAGGTAGTAATTGTGAAAAAGAAAGGTAAATATTCCTAAATTCCTAAACCATTGTCACTTTAACTTTATGTTTATTTTAAAGGAATGTTTAATATACCCAGGACTTAGCGTAAGTTTAATTGTAACGTGAACGTTTGTCTGGACATAAAAAGTAATGGACATAAACATCCTAGAGATAACCCCCCTCCCTCCGGGACAAAAATACTTTGTACATAACCCCCTCCTCTTTTTAGGTCTATATAATGAAATAATCGGCGAAAAACGGTTGATAATATGATGGTATGTATTGCCTATTATAATTTTGAATATTTATGTAGCATTAATATGTATTTAGAATGCTGTAATATTCGATAACAATATCTAAATATTTTCCTAACCATATTACCATTCTTATAAAAATTGCCAACAAAAACACTTTGTTACAAATATTAAACAAAGTAACCTCAGCAGCCAAGGAAGGATTACATCGGTGCATGTTCTACACTACAACAACAAAATAAAGGCGACCGGGCATAGTGCTGACCACGCTATCCCTTCATAGGCCGAGGTCTCTAAATCAGATAAACTCTACTTCATCTGTCCCATGTGTCTTGGCCGCGAACGGGAAATGATGATGATTATGATATGGGTGTAAACGGATTCAGTGAAGTGTTGCCTTTGGTATCTGTTTAATGACCGCGTTGATAACAGATGTTAATTCTATGTTGTAAACTGCTGGGAAAAAACAACTACAGTTGATTAGTGACCTATGCCACTTGATACAGCATAGTGCTAACGCTGCATTTATATATATATATATATATATATATATATATATATATATATATATATATATATATATATATATATATATATATATATATGTGTGTGTGTGTGTATGTATATATTGTGTGTGTTTGAGTATGTATGTTTGTGTATGTGTGTGTGTTACAACCCAACATAGAAACAACCACGTTGCAAACTAGCCGGTTAATATGCAAAGTAGCCAATTGGACCGGCCAATATCCGAAATCGTTTTTTGGGTCAGTACGTTGACATTAAAGCTTGCTAATTGGCTAGATGTGACTGAATAAGAAGATTATGAGCAGATTTCGGGTGTTTGTATACCTTTAATGTAACTACTGTAAATAGATTAAATAAATGCCAGTACAAAAATTAATTAATAAAATTAATATAAACATTTTAATAACAAAAATTTTTATAAATGCACTCAAAAGTACAACAAAAGTTATTTTCTTTAAATTTATAACAATGAGCCACTATTTAAATACTAAAAAGAAAAGATTGGGTGATTTGTAAAATTTCAGATCCTTCAAGGTTATTCAATACATATTATAGCGACCCACGTTTTTCTTAATTTTAAAAAATAAGTTCTTAATAAATGACTTTATTATTGGACATGAAAGAAATATTTGTCACACATTACCACATATAGCATTACTGGAATATTATTTCATGCAGTTCTGAATTCGGAACATAACAAAACACTTGAATATTGTTGAAACGTCTCATTGAACCATACATACAAGCAAACACAATAAGAAGCTGCCTGTATAAAAAAAAACACACACACCAATAAACTGATACATTTCATTACTCCAAGTACTAGAGAAAGCCAAGTAAATAGTCTAATCAATTTTGGTGTATTAATAATCATAATAATATATAGAAATTCATGTCTGAGGTTTAAAAAGAAAGCTTGTGTTGGTCAGTTTAATCAGTTTGAACCATATATTCTTTAGTTTAAATCAGTAATGACCTTTTTTCACTAAGTTTAGATATTAACTCTTGTTTTCTGCTGACAGAAATAAAAAAAAATAGAAACAACAAAAATATAAAATTATTCTATTTTACTATTAGGGCGTTTAACAGATGTATGGCCCTAATTGTCACTAATGATGTTTAGTCAAAGATCAAAGAAAAAACTCGTACTATTTTATGTAAATTATTTACTGCTTGTGCCAAGAATTATTCCTATAAAAGAAATGGTACCCAAATGATATCTACAGGCTACAAACCAAAGGCTAAAATCACAAGACTACAAGCACGAGACTGCTGTTGAAACAGAATAAAGCCATCAACCAGATGTAAGTCAAGATTTAACGCCTAGAGGTCATTTAGGTTATTTTATCATTCGTTATTTGAATTACTTATTTTTGAAATGTTATACTTTACCAAAAAGTAACTTTTGAAGCTGTTTAAATAGAATTTGAACGTGATAACTAGACCTACGAGCCGATCCTGGGTGACATTAAACTTCTAAAGGGTGGGGCAAAATTTTGTGACGATGTGTGACGAGGAGGGGGGGAGGAGTATTCTGAAAATGTGATGTTACACTAATGAATTTTCAAAAATTAATTTCAGTAGCTAAATTTTAGCCTCTGTTTCGCGTTTAAGAAAGGTGTTTTTTGCAAATTATATCAGAAATTGATTAATATACTGTATATAGAAGAAGGTCAGTAAATGATTTAGAAAAAAAATCGATCTTTAAAAAAAAAAGTTAATTTTGGAGGGGGAAGGGTACGGTCTATGTGTACTTCATTGTAATGGAGGGTCTGGTTTTTTGTGAACTTGTATGAATGTAAGGAAGGGGTGCGGGGTAAAATTCGTGAGAAAAGCATGACGTTATTTATGGATTCCCGCCCCCCCCCCCTTAGTTAACGAAGAAATGCTGTCTATTAGACTGACAAAATAAATGTGACCATTCATCTATTTACCATCACAGTCGACACAGGCTAGGCCCAGCTTAGGAGAGGGATGGACACTGGCGTTTCGTGGTACAGCTTACATAGGAAAATCTGTTTACGCCGTCTTTAAGGACGGTACTGGGATCCCAAGTGAGGTGGAACCCGGGTGTAAACAGGTGAGTTGTCCGGTAGGAAATAAGGCCGAAATCTAAATGGCCAACTTAAAAAAGCCCCTCCCCCCCATGGACAAAAGGCCATCTAAAAGATACTTGACACAGTCACCGTCCCACTTCCAACATCAGATACTTCACACAGCTGACTGTTTAACTTAAAAGGAAGACTCAACAAGACGATCTTTTCTATTGCTTTAAACCACAAAAACATTTTACTCCGTGATAATTACTCTATTAAATTAATTATGTTTACGTTTACAGGTCACCAAATCATTATCCTGCAACAACCACTACAGAAATACAGATGTGTTCGACAAATGGGACAAAGTAAAGGAAGTTTCCTTCATCCTGCACTCCAACTACCAGAAAGTCAAGGAGATTTTGTTTGACGGCACCGATACAACCTACATGAACTGGTTCGACAAGTCCAGAGTCAAGTTCTCTACATGGAAGCAGATCAAGACGAACCCCACCAACTACTTCTCTATTGCAGGTGACATCAGGCCAGAGCTTATACGAGCCTTCTTCATCAACCAGAACTACGACGGTTGTCCAGCAGACAAGGGCTGGTTCGTGGCTGTGGACAGGGCAGACGGCCCGTGCTCGTGGGAGAAGGCGAGCAGGTTCCCGGTATTCAAGTACTCACGACAGAGTAGCCCTGGGAACTGGACCACAGGTGACGTGGCCAATGCCGACATGTTCGCCATCTTTGTTAAATTCTACGACACACCTTGAAGCCGCTGATGGTTAGACCGGGAGCTTGTCGGTGAAAATGAAATCTTTTTAATAAATCAGAAAAATTATGCAGTTTATATTTGTGTTTTATAAAATCCTATATGTGTTTTGTGGTTTGATAAATAGGATCAACATTTTACATATTTTGTATTAAAAAACAGCAATAATTGCTGGAATTTCGTTCACAAAGTAGCACTACTCTAATCTACATCTTTGTTGATTTTTGATACTTTAAATTTGACTATTAATTGTTAGACCTGTATAACCAGATACAACATCGTTTATGTTTCAATTAGATTAGATACCAACTTCATCTTAAACAAGTCCCCTTTCTTTTGCTTTGTTGTGTATATTTGAGAGCTGTTCTAGCCAACGCTTCAAACATCTCCATTCTCTGTGTCTGATAACTGATGTTAATATTTGAACTGAGTGTTCTCTTTTATTTTAAACTCCCCCATTTGAGATAGTGTTTGCCCCGAAGATTCTCAGTACTTGTAGCGCTTGTTATGAACAGCTTCTAATTTCACCCCAATCCCATTACAGGTCTTCCAAAATTCTGAGCCATGAATGAGGACACTAAGCCCATTATTTTAAATATGCGGAGTGTGGAAGTTAAGCTTATCCTACCTTTTCCCCCACATATCCCTTAGCTGAGCAAAGAAATCGATTATATTTTTTTTAACCTACTCCTCTCTCACATACTATTTGAATACTTGAATAAATTATAATTGTAAACAGTGAAGAACAAACACGTGCCCGCATTTCAGCTGTTAATTAACCAACCACATGTTGCATTTTTGTTATTCTGGTGTGATCTTGTCTAATTAAAAGGCCATTAGTATGCAACAAATACCCCTATCTGACCATTAGAATTACCATACTTAACGTAACTAGAAATTTCTTGTTTAAAATAAAAACTGCTAAAATAACCATTCGAATAAACCGGGAGTGATCTCCCCTAAACTTTCTCGAATATTCTAATATAACACTACGGGGGATGGCAACTCGGGATATAGACTTCTAGACATGATTTTTAATCCATTTTAAATACTCAAATTTTTTAAAATAGAATATAATCTCGTATAAAAAAAAGGCACACCAAGTGAACGCTAAATAAAGATGTGCATAATAGTGCGCAATATTATTAGTACTTTATTAATTTACATGCGTTTTTGAGAAATCGGAAGTAGCGTAAATAAGTACTTCCGATAAACGGAAATTACTCAAAATTTGACAGAAGATAGAGAATTAGATCTTCTACTTACATATCAAATTTCATTTATCTATCTGAAATAGAACTCAAGTTATAGGCTTTTGAAAAATTCAAAGTGGAAAAAGTACCACTTCCGGTTATCGGAAATCGCTCAAAAGTTGATACGGATCTACGATTTTGATAAAATACTTATATATGAAATTTTCATCAACCTAGCTGTAACGGTACTCAAGTTATCGTGTTTACACACGGACACACACACGGACAGAATTGGATAATCCAGTTTTTCCAACTCCATTACGCATAAAACGCCCAAATTTTTATATATCTGAGTTTATAATTTTTGCCCGATTAAAATAAGTCTTCTATATCCCGGATGTGATGAAGGACTGAGGAGTAAAACGGTGAAAACTGTCCAAATTTAATGTGATTTTTGTGCACGATTACAAGACTTTCTCTATACTTTGTATATACGAGAAAGTAATAAAAAACAACCATGTAGCTGTGTTAGTAAAGAAAGGAAATTTAAGGACACTCCTCATAATAGCTTCAATTTACAAACAGATAAAAATACAAACAAACAGACAATGATTCATAATCATTCGATAATAGAAGTATGGTTGCAATAGATCTAAAAATACATCTTGATCTCCATTTACCGGAAGGTAAAGTTTCTCATAATAAAGATTTAGATTATCGCACGATTACAAATACCCTTTATATTCCGCATACAATGAAGTAGTGAGGTGTATAACTGTCAAAATATCTATCAATCATTCAAAAAGATTACAATATTTCCGGTACTCACTGTATACGAGGAAATATAACTAAGGCAAAACAAAAAATAGTCTATTCATGCATTTGTCAAATAAACGTAATCTTAGGATCATCGAAAGGCCAAATGACTTGACCACGGCATATGTAGTGATAGTGTGGTCAGCACTATGTCCAGCGGTCTTTAATACGCGAGTGAGGTTCCTTTCAGTGCTGGGCGGACTCGTCGACGTCCGAAAGACACTATCTTGCGATCCGAAACTTCCGGGTTAGTTGTCGAGAGTACTACCACTGCACCACTCCACTACCCGTCCCTTCAAATACTTTTGGACGTCTATGTTAGATTTCAGAACCAATTCGGTACAGAGCTAGTTTCTCCAACTACCCTAGCAGTAAACTATCAATATGGCGCTAGTTACATTCACTGTGCACAGGGGTAACCCATATTTTTGTTTGTGCTAGTTGGACTAATTTATTATCTATATTTTAAAAGCCTGGTTTTAAGTTAAATATATTTGATGCTAGATTTTATTACTTATTTTAGGTCTATAGGGAGGCAAAAAATACAATAGAACAGTTAAAACAACAAAGTGCTTGTTTCACCTTTGACCCTAATGAGATGAACAGCTGTGTTGTCCTAATGATCACTAACGATGTTTGTTCAAATATCTAACACAAATTGGCTATCATATGTAAATTAATTACCGCAAGGCCCAACCATGATCTCTATAAAAGGCAAAGGACAGAACTCCAAATATTGTTACCTACAAGTCTGACAACAAGCACAAGACTACGACCACAAGACTACAAGAGAAGCTCGTCATGAAGTTGTTGACGTTTCTAGCCGTGGTAGTCACGGACATTCTTCTCTGTCAAGGTAAACACAAACACAGCTCTAGTGTCTTGAGTTGATTGTTGATGTTTTGTTGTCAACTAAACACAGCTCTAGTCTCTTGAGTTGATTGTTGATGTTTTTTCCATCTAAAACAAGCGCATCTCTAATCTTTAGCTGATTTTGATGTTTTGTATTTTAGATAATCCCCCGCTGTCGTTTTGACATTTTTTGAGTGCAATTTCGTGTTTTTGTGTTTCAAACAGACATCAACAAGATGACGAAAATCCTTCCAACATTATTATTGAAACCATTATTACTGACATGGATAAAAAAAAAATTCTTGTAATTTTGCCTTTATAGCAGAAATAGTATATTTTAAGATTCAACTGCTGACAACATGAAATTAATTTTTCCGTTTAAGGCTACGTTATTTTCCTCCGGCTTAAATTATAACCCGCTGTTTTACTTTCGTAAGACAAGCTTTGATTAGCTGTACAAAAACACAATGATCCACCTTTTGTCAACAAGCTTATTATTTAGTTCACAATGTCTGTGAGTTTAATATAAATCTTTTGAAAGCACTGAAAATAAAAGCTTTCGCCGTTAAAATATGTGAAAGATCTCATGTGCGACCAAAGGTTTTATCGAAGAAAGTATTTTTAAAGGCGTGTTAATATAAACGTTATTATACTTTTGTTATTAGTAATTGGAACTCAAAAGTTTGCCGATAAAGTTTGTTAATAAAGGTAATACTTTTTAAACCCGGGCCAAGTTATGTCATGTTTATTTACATTTACATTTAATTTGCCTTTTTGTTTTAAAATTTCATTTAGTTACACAAAATATAAAATAATCAAATAGGCCTACATGATTTAAAAAATATATTCATTGGGCCTTTCGAAAACTTGCGAGACTATTCTCATTGGTGTACTTATATCGTTAGATGTGCAATTTTACCCTCCATCTGTGTGTCTTTTACTAGCCGCGGGCGAGGACTACGAGGAGACAGCATGTCTGGACTGTCAACAGTTGCTGCTAAAACAAAATAAAATCATTAACCAGCTGTCAGTTAAGATTCAACGTTTAGAGGTACATTTTTTTAAAATTATAAAATAGTTTCGGTTTTTGTTACATTATGTGTTGTCTACCACTCAGAATAAACAGGAGCCTCTTCACATTGACTTCAGCACTTTATTTATCTACATATATCACAGGCACGATCACACGTACTGGCTAAGGCTTCCATCTTAGATAACTCACTCGTAACACAATACACACTAACACGGTAAACAGAGACTGATGAATCAAGAGACATAACTATGAATCGCATAATACAAGGGACGTAACAATAGCTAACAAAACATAACGTAACTGTTTTGGAAAAATACAATTTCTTACGTTTTGCTGCTAATTGATAGGACTTAACCGTTTGTATTATTAGAATTTAAACGGGAATATATGACTTAAACCACACAAATTTAGCTTTCCATTACCATATAAGGAAAAAGAATGTGACCAATAGATCCTCGATCATTATAGTAAAATCACGCGTTATGCTTTCAGGCAAATCCGGCTACGGGAGAAGAATGGACACTGGCTTTTCGTGGTACAGCTTACATAGGAAAATCTGTTTACGCCGCCTATAAGGACGGTACTGGAATCCCAAGTGAGGTGGAACCCGGATGTAAACAGGTGAGTTTACAAGATATTTCTCGCTACCATTAAAAAAAATAATTGCATTAAATAATTACATCATCGCCAAAAAAACTACATCAAAAACAACATTTCTTAATAATGCAAAAGTCACATATATATTTAATGAATTTAAATGTGAAGCAAGTACAAAAGCTAAGTTGCTGTTTTGTTTTCGTATCAAATTATACCTCGCACTTCGCTATTAAATAACGATGCATGTTTCCAAACATTTTATAAAGCAAAAAAAAAAACTTTACCTCTGCGACCGATACAAAATATAAATGTATCAATTGTTCGTGTGCAGGTCACCAAACCATTACCTTGCAACAACCACTACAGAAACCTGAACGTTTTCGACAACTGGGACAAAGTAAAGGAAGTCGCCTTCGTCGTGTACTCAAACTACCAGAAGGTCAAGGAGATTTTGTTTGACGGCACAAGTACAAACTACATGACCTGGTTCGACAAATCCAAGGTCAAGTTTTCTACATGGAAGCAAATCAAGACGGAAACCACAAACGCTTTTTCTATTGCAGGTGACATTAGGCCTGACCTTATGAGGACGTTCTTCGTCAACAACTTCTATGGCGGATGTCCAGCAGACAAGGGCTGGTTCGTGGCTGTGGACAGGGCAGACGGCGCATGCGCTTGGGAGAAGGCGAGCAGGTTCCCGGTCTTCAAGTACGCACGACAGAGTAGCCCTGAGAACTGGAACACTGGTGACGTGGCCAATGCCGACATGTTCGCCATCTTTGTTAAATTTTACGACACTCCTTGAACCCGCAGATGGTTAGATCGGGAGCTTGTCAATGAAAATGAAATCTTTTAAATAAATCAGAAAAAAATTATGCAGTTTATATTTATGTTTTATAAAATCCTATATGTGTTTTGTGGTTTGATAAAAGAGGATGAACATTTTACATACTTTGTGTTAAAAATCAAAAACCAAATTCCCTTATCCCTAAGCTGATCAAAGAAATCTATTCTATTTTTAAATTAATCCTCACTCACACACTATTTGAATACTTGAATAAATTATAATTGTAAACAGGGATCTCATCAGCCACATGTTTATTTTTTATTCTGGTGCGAACTTGTCTAATTAGTATGCAACAAATACCCCTATCTGACCATTACAATTAACATACTTAACTAACTTGAAATTTCTAGTTTAAAATAAAAACTGCTAAAATAACCATTCGAATAAAAACAAACCAAGTAGCTGTTTTAGTACGAACCGGTTTTAATATTTTATAATTCTCCCGGCGTATGCATCACTGCAATCTCAGGAAAAAAAGGAAATTTAAACACTCCTTATGATAACCCTCAATTTACAACCAAATAAACATACAAACAGACAATGATTTATCAAAACAAACTTCGATAATAGAAGAATGGTTGCAATAGATCTAAATATACATCTTGATCTCCATTTACCGGAAGGTTATAAACGCCAAAGCTTCTCATAATAAAGATTTAGATTCGAGCACGATTACAATGCACCCTTTATATTCCGCATATAATGAAGTAGTTAGGTGTATAACTGTCAAAATAAATGTTAATTATTCAGCAGGATTGTACTATTTCCGGTATTCGCTGTATACGACGAAGTATAAAAATGGTCACAACAAAAAATGGGCTTTTCATGCATTTGTCAAATAACCGTAACCTATGGATCCAAAGGGCAAATGACTTGACCACGGCATATGAAGTGATAGTGTGGTCAGCACTGTGTCCAGCTGTCTTTACAACGTTAGTGAGGTTCCTATTAGTGCTAGGCGGAATATCTATATGATGTTAGCTACTTCCACTGTCCCCAGAGTAGTATAGTAGGTCCCCTTTGGGTCGTTTTTGTGCAGACATGTTTATATAGTAAAATATTGAGCAGCCAGAGCAGGCATGTTATATAGTAAAATACTCCAGCTGGAGCAGGTGTTCCCCTCCTCCTATTGTCTTCCGTGACGCTCCTTTACGGCCGCGACGACAAACAATAGAGTATCGATTTTTTTTTTTAAAGTTATGTTTAAATAGTCATTAAAAATAATTTATTCAGCTAGGCTTGCTTTACAATAGGCCATATTTCTCATACAGTTGATCTATAAATAGCCGTTACTAGTTACTACCAGTCTGTATTTTTTCCTCTGTTCTTTGTTTAGTCGTGTTAATTATGTTAAGTGTGATTGCTTTATTTGTTGTGGCTGTTTGCTTTGTTGGTTTTTAATATTTACATACAATTTTTGCTTTAGTTTACACTAAATTGCACATAGTATATTAGAAGTATTATATTAAGTGCTAGGGTGTTGGTTTATTGTACGTTTATGTACATAGTTGAGGCTATGGTGTAATCACGACTTTGTTTTCCTAGTGACGATCTCTTTCTAAAATAGTGACCAGGGCTAGATATCAAAGAGTATATTAATCAATTATCTTTAAAAAATTTTAAAAAATAATTATTTTATTTAGCAAGGCTTGACTATATTCCTTATTTCTCATACAGTTGATCTATAAATAGCCGTTACTATTTACTATTAGTCTGTTCTTTGTCTAGTCCGAGTCGTGTTAATTATGTTAAGTGTGATTGCTTTATTTGTTGTGGCTGTTTGCTTTGTTGTTTTTTAATATTTACATATGTTGTAATCACAACGTTTTCATTGTTTTCATTGTTTTTTTATTTATTTTTTAACCACCTTTTAAATTAAAGGTTCTATAGCCATCATTTTGACGACCACTTATATATATTTAAATACATTTTGTTTATATTTTTATAATTTTCTAAAAAAAAAATATTAATATAGAAGATTAACAAATAATTTTTTTTTTTTCTTTCTGTGATCTTGGCATATGAAGTGATAGTGTGTTCATCACTATGTCCAACCGCCTTACTTTCCCTAACGTAAGTTAGGTACCCATCAGAGTTGGGTAGACTCGGGAACAGTCTACTGTCTTTGAACCTGGATTCGAACTCGGGACTTTTGGGTTAGCAGTCGTAAGTTCTACCACGCTGCCCCCTTCATTCATGACTATATAAGTTCCTATTGATTTGATTTTTTACTAAATAAAACTAATATAGAAACGAAGGCAGAGTCGAATTTTTCTAGAACAGTCTTGTTAACAACCACGAGTAGCGTCCCGTAAATTTAGGATCCCAATGGTTTAACATAGAAATGACACTAAACACCCTTGGTGATGTCTTTGTAAACGAAAAGTCCGTTAAGTTTCAAATCTCAAGTTTTGTAAACGTCTTTGTTTAAGTATTTACATTGTTTTATGTAGGTTCAGAAGTATTTCATAGCGACAATGGAACAGTGTCCGTGCGCGTTTGTTTACATTTAAAAATACATGTCGCGTGCTTTGCGCGCGTCTCTCGACGTTTTAAGTTTTCCTAGTGTTTTTAAAACAGCGATTTCTTTCTAAAATAGTGACCAGGGTCAGACATCAAAGAGTATATTAATCAATTATCATTAACAATTTAAAAAGTAATTTAGGATGTCAATGGTTTAACATAGAAATTACACTAAATACCCTTGGTTATGTCTTTGATTTTGTAAACAAAAAGTCGATTATGTTTCAAATCTCAAGTTTTGTAAACTTCTTTGTTTAAGTGTCTACATTGTTTTAAGTAGGTTCAGAACTAGGTTTATTTTATTAACATAAAAGTTTTGTCTTAATTAAAAATAATTGTCAGACTAAATAGCTAATTAAAATGATCAATAGCAGTTTGGTTTAATAAGTAATATATGTGTTACACCAGCGTTAATCTTAGAAAAATATTTTGATTGTTATGATTATAATTGTTTTTTTTTTCCAATTGTCTTATTAATACTCGGCCCTATGATTTGTGAGATAATGACCACCATGGTATATATTATATTTATATACACTGTTATTATTTTTTTTTAAAGTCATCACTACCCCACTGAAACCTCTTAAAATAAGACCATTTTCCTATGATCAAAATTTTAGCTCAAATCAGTGAGAAATAAATTGGGTCTAGCATATATTAATCCAACTGATGTCGTTTAGAAGAAAAGCTGTACCTACAATTAAATTTACTGAAAGGTTTGCTTAAAAGCTTTTATCAAAATGGTTGTGCACTTATACTTGTAATAAGTTATAATTTTTTTTTTTACTTTTCATAGATATGTATTGAATTAGTCCATTTTGATTATGACTTGTTGTCCTGGCGTTGACATTTTACACTTTTTTTTTGAGACTCACATATACACATATATATATACACACACACACACACACACACACACACACACACACACATGAAACTAAAATCAAATCACAACAACTCTTGTTTAATTTTATTAATTTTATTTTCTCTAAGCCGATAAAATACTATGGTATAATATTTACAAGCTTGCAAAACATACCCGCGTCATTCACTCTAGCATTTTTTAAGTGCAACGAAGGCACGAGACCGCCTTTTATTGTGTGCCGTGAGCACAATACCCATTGTATGGGTATCTGAGCATAGGGCAATAGCTATACCCCAACGCACATGGGCGGTTAGATAATAAGCGAGGTAGCTTTTCCGCGGAGCAAGCTGTGAAACAGGTGAAATAAAGAAAGTCGCTTTTTTTTTTGTATTTTATGTCTCAATCAGGGTGGTGCGATATTTTTTTTTCTCTTTGTATCCGTGTTGTAAACAAAATGAGGAGGAGAAAGGGTAGTGACCTACCCTCCCACCCCCGTGTCCCATGATAGCAAACACAATTTTAAATGTGTATTTGTTAGGTTTTAGTAGCGATACATCTTCTACTTGTTTCTTCCTTGTGACATCATTAGCATGGGAGACGATTCGTTTCAGCGGAGCGAGTCGTGCGTCATTTAAAGACATCAAATAGGGTAATGTTACACAAGACAAGCTTTTATAGTACTCTGTTGAAATTAATTAAAGGGAGAAAACCCTAAAAAATATTTACTAACGTCCCTCTGGTGTAATCTTTACAAGCTAACAAAACATACGCCGTCATTCACTCTACGCATTTTTTTTAAAGTGCTACGAAAGCACGCGGCTACCTTCCATTGTGTACCGTGACCACAATACCCATTGTATGGGTATCTGCGCAAAGACAATGAATCAACCAGACTGTGTCGGAAAAATACTTCCACAAAATACCCTTCTCTCGAAGAAGACAATTTATTTTTTACTTCACGTTGAGTAATTTTATTTTATTTTTAATTTTTTTTTTAAAGTGTTTTTGGTACGTTTTAGTAGCGAGATATCGTCTACTCGTTTCTTCCTTGCGATGTCATTAGCAGGGGAGATGATTCGTCTTTTACAGCGAGCTAGACCATCTCTTTTCCAAGTGCAACGTACGCGAAATAAAGACACTAGCTTTTGTATTTTATATCGCAAGCAGGTGACGGGATATTTATACATCTGCTTGAGCGTTATCGGCGAAACTTGTTTTAAACATTATTAATACGCCAAAATTTTGAAATATTATTGTTTCATACACCGATCTCAAGATAGAGTTTTTAATCAGATCTATTATTAACAAATATTGTCATTTTAACACACTGCGTAACCATCAAGGTGAATCAACCACACCTGATGTTACCACTCGTAAAGTCAAGTCTTCAAGACAAAACACTGATACTAAACAAGACATTAAACTGAATTATATGCCACTATGTGATACAACTAATATTATCTTTGCAATGTTAAAAGAGGGGGTATAACTTGTATTGAGTATAGATGTATAGTGTTTAATATTTAATGCATAGAACACAGGACAAAAAAAAAAAAAAAAAAAAACAGATTTACATCCCCGCAACATCCGACATAAGGGTTGGGATGGGTACGGGGAGGGTGGAAGAGAAGAAAAAAACA